CGCCCCCGCCCGCGCGCCGCCGCCGCGCCCCATTGGCCGCCGGGCTGACGGCGGCCCCGCCCCGCGGCCCCGCCCCGCTGCCGTAAAGCCGCGGAGGAATGGGGGGGTCGCTTTGCGACAGGGGGCGGCGGCGGCGGTTCCGGCGCTGTGACGGAGCGGAGTTTGGGCCTCGCGGTCCTCCGGGGGCGGGTGAGTGGCGAGAGTTGCCTGGCAGCGACCGCCGGGCAGCGGGGCGGGGACGGGCCCGTGCGCTCCGCGGCTCGGGGTGACTAAGCGGGGCCGCGGGTGTGAGGGAGGGGGGGGACGAGAGGCGTGGCCTGGAGCGAAAGAGGCGGGGCCGGATCGGGAGGGGCGGGGCTGTTGCCTTATGGGCGTGGTTTGATAATACGGGGGCGGGGCCTTGGGGAGCGAGGCTGTGGCGGGCGGGGCTGAGGGGAGAGCCCGGGAGGGGCTGAGGGGAGAGCCCGGGAGGGGCTGAGGGAGCGCCCAGGAGGGGCTGAGGGAGAGCCCAGGAGGGGCTGAGGGAGAAACGGGCGGGTGAATGAAGGAAGGGTCGCCGGGCGGGTGCGGGGGCTGGGGATCTCTGCACTGTCGGGCCGGGAACCGCGCCGGTGGAGCGGCGGGAGGCCTCGGCCGCCCTCAGCCCGGCAGGACGGGGCTGTGAGGGCTCTGGAGGAGCGGCAGCTCCGGGCTCGCTCTGTCACCCCGGGTGTCGCGGGTTCCGGTGAGCGGCCAGGCCGGTGAGGCGGGTCCCGGCCCGCTCCTGCCCGCCGTGGCTGAAGGCGCTCGGCGGAATCGCAGCCAAAGCGTGCGGCGTGCTGAGGGGCCGCAGTTAACTGGGATCGCGCTGCTCAGGTTGTTTGGAAACTCTGGAAGGAAATGACACGGATTTAGGGGCGTTTACAGTGTTTCAGCACTGAGCAGAAGCTTATTTATTGAGAGATGAGCCTGCGAAGTCACTGCGGGTACAAGGAGTCCAAAGTGCATTTTATTCCTTCTTTGTAAGGAGATCCAGAGCCTTGAGATTCACACCCAAAATCATGGACTGAGGTTTCATTTAGCTTTATCAGATTTAATTTTTAATGAAAATGGGATGGAGTTTTGGATAGTTTTTCTAGAAAAAAAGGGCTTTAAAGCTCATCTCATTCCATCCCCTGCCATAGTCGGGGACACCTTCCACTGTCCCAGGCTGCTCCAAGCCCTGTCCAGCCTGGCTTTGGGCACTGCCAGGGATCCTGAGGCAGCCACAGCTCCTCAGGATGCCTCCTGTGCCCAGGGCCTTACCCCCCTAGCAGGGAACAATTTCTTTTTACTTTCTCTGAACTAACATTGTTGATAGCACAGTTTCCTTTTTTTTTTTTTTTTTTTTTTACTAGCACAAATGGCGTATAATGACATGCAATAACTCAGGGATGTAAGTGAAGAGGCATAAGTTTCTTTCCCCATTCTGTTTGCAGCTCCACTTGACTTTGGTTTTGATTTTAAAGCATTATTAATGATGAAAGTAACATACAAACCCCCTTGTTTTTTGTTTGTTTCTTACTTTCTGCGTAGTTTTCCTTTCTGTCTCTTACGTGATCAGTCTATATATAAGGTTTTTAGAACGATTCCCTTTTGTTTATGCAGGAATCTGGCTCTGTGAGGTGTTGCCTTAATTGGTTTTTAGATGCTGGCATGAGTAACTCAGATAAATAATACAAATAAGGATTGGAGTTTGTCACTGCTTTTCTTTATTCTTCAGTTTTGAGCTTTTCACTCTCGTGCTGTGTCTGAAACAAATTTAGTCCTTGGCTGATATTTTCTCCCTCTTTGAAGTAAATTCTTTCAAAATTTAAGCCCCCTCACTTTTCATTTCCTTCAATGACTTGCATTTGTGAACTTGTGAGTGAAACATATCTTAGAGATGCTTTTGTAAAGTTTGCAGATTAATGGTGGAACACAGATGTGTTCTGGGAGGATCCAGGGAGGCACAGCCAGCACGGTGTGGTGGAGCTGAAACCTCACAGTGGCTGTCCTGGAAAAGTTCTGAATCTCCTCTGCCTTAACCACCTTGCTGGATCGTGTGAACTTGTGCATGAGATCTCTTCAGCCACCACATAAAGTCATAATTCAAGCTGATCTCAAAACAAGAGTCTGTGTGTTGAGATAGTTTTACTTTATTAGGTATTAATTTAGGAAGAAACAAAGCTCAAGGATGGGAACAATAGCCATATAAAATATTCAGAGTGGTTTCTGAAGAAATTTTATAAGGTTTTAGGTCATAAATGTCCACCTTATGTAGAATTCTGAAAAGATTCTGCAAATGAAGAGATTTTATTGCCTGAAATACCAGATTTATTCTTAACATCCAGCAAAATGTGGAGTATGGGAAAGGATGGGGGAAGGGTTCTATCAGGTGAGGAAATGCTGTAACATTTTGGGGTTTTCAGGTCAGCCCTTGCTGAATGTGTCTTTAAAAATACCACACCAGAGGGAATTGTAGATTACTCCTGCAGGCAACTTCATGCTCTCAAATTTTAGTTCCTTTTCTGAAGGAAATGATTCCTGATGAGAAGTGATGAGTCAGGGTAGCACATCTTGGTCTACCTCTGATCCTTTGTGCCTTTGGGAAGCCATTTTGTCAATACATGCTTCAGTTGCAGTGAAACAATCAGGCTGTAAAAATGAAAGTGGAATTTTCAGTGTTTGCTGTTGTTTGTAAAACTTGTGAAGATTATAAGCTAGAACAGAAATGCCTCATATGCTGACTTATACAATCTCATTCTTTTTTAATATTCTGCTGAAAAGAAGTAGTAATTTAAAATACTTGGTCTGATGATAAATGCAGGTAAAACTGATACATAGATGGGAAGATATTTAGAATTTCTTACTGGTTAGAAGACTGAACTATTTTCTTCCTTTGGTAAGAAGGGGGAAATGCAGTATTTAAGTAAAAGCCAACTATGGGTGGATGGCTGCAGGATTCTGCCTGGAATTCTACCTGGTTGATTAGGCCAGACTTAGAAATGGGGATCCAAAAAGTATGCAAAGTATGAAAAAAAGTTTGAAAATTCCTATAATCAACTTTAGTTCCACTCCTAACTTCACCATAGATACAGGTAATGAGTTTGTTGGTTTTAATTAAGAGGTCTGGCTAGAGAGCATGTTAAAACTGCTCTAAAAAGATAAATATTACAGATGAGCATCATTCTTAATGTAGGTGAAAAAGAAACCCTGATGTTCTTAAGGATTTTTTTTTTTCTGAGAAGATGGGGTATCTGTCTGGCCATTTACATACTGGACAGAAAATTGTGAGGGTTTAGGTGCTCATACTTCATGCAGAGATTTGAATTCTTAGTAGCTTTTCATTTTAAGCTGTAGCAAATATTCCAGTGCTGTGATTGAAAGATGTCTTCCATGGACATGGGGATAAAGACTTATTTTTTTACCTTTCCTGAATATGTTTAAGTGTTTTTATTGGCTCTTAATAAATTTTACACTCTGTTTTTAAATTATTCTTTAATTTTAATCGTTGTGGCGTTGAGGTCAGCCCACCTTGAGCCTGTGTGCAGCAGAAGTCAAGACTTGTCCTTCCTTTGGCTTCCTTTTTTTTTTTTTTTGAGAGCTGTTTCCAGTTCCAGCCTCAGTGGAGCAATGAACACTGCCAGTTCAGAGGAAAATTTGCAGCTGAAATTTTATGCCTGTTTTTGGAGGCATCTATAACAAAATAATTTAAATTCTAGTAGTTTTAGCAACGTAGAGAAAGATTTAATCCAAGTTCTCATATCTTTAGAAGTAGCCCCTAATAATAGTCATCTTTGGGTTTGTTAATTCCAGCTAATGAACTTTGGTGTTAGTAATATAATACTGGAACTGTGAACTTCTTCCCAGCATGGTAATTCTTCATTTTAATGTCTCACTGGGACAGTTTTGTGCAGCTGAATTTGAATTTTCAAAACAAGTTTAATAATGGTAGCATTAACTCTAAAAATATGTTGTTCCTTTATATTTTCTAGTTGCTTGCAAAGTAACAGCAGAATGTTTTATTTATAGGTAACTTAGAAGAGAAATGCCCAGTGGTGCTTCTGTTTCTCTTACTGGATGAAAGTAACTTGGAAGCTGATTTGCAGTGAATAATCAATGAAGCCACACAACATTTTCTGGAATATTGCATGATCTCATCATGAAGATC